TATAAAAGTAAATAAAAAACTTGTTGATTAAATATAAGAAAGGTCACTTCATCTGTTACCAATGAGTTTTAAATTAGATGCAAACCTTGAGCCCACATACACGATTTTTACATATATCAATGTCAGCTTTTTGGGAAGAATTATAGTAAAATGATATAATCTCAAACTATGAATTGCTGTTTTTATTACATCAAATTTACCGTCTATCTAATATATGATTTCCCTTTCAGGCCGTTCCTGGAGTTGCCAAAATCAAAGAGGGTTCTAACCCTGCCACCTGGATGTTAGATGTCACTTCCACAGCTGTTGAGTCTCAGCTTGATGTTGATTTTGCCGAAATTTATGCACACTCAGACCTCTATAGGTACGGTGCTTTGTTTTACTTTTTGGCCGAATTTCACTTAAAAACTCCTCACTAAACCTATCACCTCTGGTGACTGACATATCTCTTTACCTTATTTTCGCTTATCCAGGAGAAACCAAGAACTCATCAAAGAACTGAGCACTTCTCAACCTGGTTCCAAAGATCTTTACTTCCCCACTCAATATTCCCAAAGCTTCATCACCCAATGCAAAGCTTGTTTCTGGAAACAACACTGGTCCTATTGGAGGAACTCACAATACAATGCTATCCGGTTCTTTATGACTATTGTCATTGGTGTTATGTTCGGCGTCATCTTTTGGGGCAAAGGAGACCAAATGTAAGTGTCTTAGTGTCTATTAGATAACCAATTTTCTGAATAACCCTCTTTTCTTGTTATAGTAAAGAAATGAACCCAAAATGATAATCTATTGATATGCTGGTCACAGACACAAGCAACAGGACCTTATCAATCTTCTCGGAGCTACCTATGCTGCTGTTCTTTTCCTTGGAGCTACCAATGCTTCAGCTGTGCAGTCTGTTGTGGCAATTGAAAGGACAGTCTTCTACCGTGAAAGAGCAGCAGGGATGTATTCAGAACTGTCTTATGCATTCGCTCAGGTGAGTGATAGTAAATTCTTATCAATTTCAGCATGCCTAAAGGGTATGTTTTTTTCTGTTACTAACCTGTATCTTCTTTACTTCCAGGTGGCCATTGAGACAGTTTATGTCATAATTCAAACCTTTATCTATGCTCTCCTTCTATACTCGATGATAGGATTCCAGTGGCAGGGAGACAAGTTTTTCTACTTCTACTACTTCATATTTATGTGTTTCACCTATTTTTCAATGTATGGGATGATGCTGGTTGCTCTGACTCCTGGTCATCAAATTGCCGCAATTGTTATGTCCTTCTTGCTCAGTTTCTGGAACTTGTTCTCCGGTTTCATGATCCCTAGACCGGTATGTAATCTTAACCCTTTTTTCTCCATTTTCATGAATTGGAAAAATTAGATGACAGAATATCTTGGATGAAAAACTATTTGCATTAATTAGAAGTGCAAAACATTAACATTTGACAATAATGAAAATAAGCTTGGCCTTAAGCTTCTCTAATCTAAACATTTCCTCTGGACAAATGCAGCTAATCCCGGTATGGTGGAGGTGGTACTACTGGGGTTCTCCAGTTGCTTGGACAATCTATGGGCTTTTCACATCTCAATTTGGTGACCTGCAAAATACTTTGGTTGAACTTGAAGATGGTAGGTCATTATCTGTGACTAAATTCCTTAAGGATAACCTGGGTTTTGATCATGATTTCCTTATACCTATAGTCCTTGCCCATGTTGCTTGGGTCCTGCTCTTTTTCTTTGTATTCGCCTACGGCATCAAGTACCTTAACTACCAGAGGAGATGAGAAAGTTAATACCATATTGAGGAGCCAAAAGAATTTACAAATGTAAAGATAGAATAGTTCAGT